GATAGTCGGCTGCAGCCGTTGGTTCTTGTTTCCATGAAACAGCCTTAGCTCTGGTAGCCTGACATGGTGACTCATGTGCAACTCCTTTCCCATTTCTGCACAGTTTAAAAGTCACAGTTTGAATTTACAGAGCAAATCAACTTTGTAATGAATAAAAAAGATTTTAAAAAATCCTGAGCACTGAGGAATCACTACACCTCTTCCACTCTTCAGAAACAAAGGTGTTGATGTGTAAACTGTCAATAATAATAATAATAATAATAATAATAATAATAATAATAATGCAGTAGCAAACTTTAATTATATTTTAGAATCTAGGCGTTTTGATTAGAATCCCGTTACTTTGCTATCCTAGGGTTAAGTTGTTACACAGGAAATTTCCTTTCAACACCTTAGTGAGCTCTGGGTCACTGTAGCACACAACCAGCTACAGCGCACAGCGAAATGTTAAAGAAATATTTGAGCTCAATCAGAAACAGCCAATCAGAGCCAAATTGGCGCTCTGAGTGCTGTCAATCACCCCAGTGTACAAGCTGGACACAGCTTCACCATTGCTCTCTGCTACACTAGATCTGATTCACCATAACAAAGCCTGGGCTGGTTAGCATGGCCATTAATGGCTGTGGGTAAACACGTTTCCTCCATTAGCATGTTTAGCAGCACATACACACGATTAATTGACAGCGCTAAGTCACTCCTTTGGCTGTAATTGTTTGTTTTTGATCGAGAGGAGTATGTTGGTTCAGACAGCGCTCAGAAGTGGAGAAGTTTATTCTTTTTAGAAATGATCTGTGTGATATTATGCTGGCACAACATGGTGTCAATAAATATGTGAAAAACAAAGTTTTGAAAAAGTTACCTACTGTAATGTTGTTCACAATTTTAATTTTCTAGATTTCTTACTGCAAGATGCTACAATAAAACAATGATTTACGGTAAGACCAAAGTGCGTATACTGTACTTTGTATTGTCTATCACGTTCCTCTAATTTTCTGGTTTTCTGGCTCCTGGTGTCAGTAAAGTAGTTTGTTCCAGTGAAACTGTTTCTGTTTTTATGTTTTAGGACTATAATTTGCTAACTGAAAGCCTCCCATCAGGGAACGAGTAATAAAATAATGAGGAATCAGACACCAGTAATGAACAGAAATGTAGGAGGCTCTGGCACCAGAGAGCCTGCTGAATTTTTTAAAGACTTTATAATTACGCTCTCCATCTCTGAACTCTGCAGTTGTATAATTGTATCTCCATCTCTCTCTGCTCATCATTACTCGTTACACTGCAGTGTATTATCACTGTGTTCATACCTGCTCAGTTCATTAGAGACTCTCTACAACACATTGAGAACATTTGACCTTTAACCTATGCAAGTTTCTTGCTCCATCTGTTTCACTGAGTAAAAGTTCAGTTTGGATCAAGTTTTGTTGCAGGAAGTGAAGCAGTGCAGTATGAACACACCAAGAAATATGCTGAACAGCGCCACCTGCTGGATTAAGCGGGTACAACATGATCACAACAGTTCAGTTTCTAATCAATTTAGACATTAAAACTCTCATAAGGAGAAAAATCATTTGATTAGTTTCAACTTAAAATAAAAAACAACAGAATTGGTACTTTATGTTTACAATTGTTTGTTTGTCACCCTCAGGATTCCAACGTTTTGACATTAAAGTGTAAAAATAAAATTTTAAAAATGCGTAACTTACAATTGAATCATTTAAACAGTTGTAATACCACAATTAATATGACTCTTTAGTTATAATAAGTATAAGCAAGAGACATGACCTGGAACTAAATACGCCGAGACAAAATAAAATAATCTAGTTCAACTTTACAAGTAACCAGAGACAGTTAGAAAGCAGTAATTTAACATTCATGTGAAGTTCTTATGATCTCACTTTCAGCTGTTTATACCTATTTCATTAGTAGTGAAAAAGCATCATAACAATGTAAAATGTAATATTACACACCATATTTTATGTAGACTGTTGTTCAGGTCAGAGGTCATCACTTCACCCAGATTTCAGCCTGATCACTGGCAGCCAGCTGTAATAACTGAAGCTGTGAGTTTATTTGATCGTTCCTCATTATATCCAAACATAATGACTTCAGTTTTGTTCCTGTTCAGCTGGAGAAAGTTATGGCATATACACACATTTACTTTAAGCAATCTCGCATTTTGCACTGTTGTCTGTTTTGATATGACTTGTCATTAATTTGGCTTCCATGTTTTCTTTGTGGCTCCTGTTGATTGTATCCAAACGTTTAAACTATTAATCCCTGTTTTTAAAGCATCATGTTTCTCTGTGTTGAAGTCTCAGACTGTTGGCTGAGTCTCAGATGACGGCGGCTTCGGAACAAGGTGTGAAACGTGTCTGGACTGACTCTACATTGGGTGTGAAATAGTCTGGACTTTGAGTAACTTTTATGACATGACATCTCCACAGGCTGGGTGGGCTCAGTTACATACCAGCCTCACAGTTTGACTGTCATTTCAACATTTCCCTCAGGACCTTTACGTTTTAGCTGTAAGAAATTTGTGGGGACCGATCTGCAACATGTTGCTCTCACATGGATGGGTGAATGAGAATACTTTTACTATTATCAGCCATTCTTATACATCATAACTCTGGATAGATGATAATCATCATATGGACAGTGAGAGCTGCCTTCCCTCTCAGTGTCTCTGCTCTCAGTCTAATCACAGGCTGCAATCAGCAGGATGTGCACTGGAGGTGCAGACATCCAGCGCTCAGACACTCTGAGGCCAGGCTGTGCCGACCCCAGCCTGAGATCGAGCCTTCATCTATACCAGATGAAAAGCATGATAATGAGCATAATTTCCCCTCACAGTTCTGCTTTGCTCAGCTCGCTGCCAGCAGTTACCTACCAGAGGTCCTGCTGCCTTGTTTTTCTGCACTGCCTCGACCATTACATCGCTTCACTTTGTTGTGGCTCTCTCAGCCTGAGCGGCTAGTGCAATTACTGCTGGAGACGGGTGCAGACAAGCAAAGCTACTACTGTGAATCACTCAAAGCCTGCATGCTCCACCACCATCACCTTCATGTCCCCTAAAAGGCTACAACGAAACTACTGCCACTGATATAGTCACTATGCCCAGCCTGCAGGTAGTTTTGTCTCACACAGCAACCTTCTGGTCTTTAAGCTTAAAAATACAAATGTCTAAGGTGTCAACAATTTACTTTTGGGGTTTTGATAGAAATTTGGGCCCAACTCATCTGACTCATGCATTATTTTGGCATTGCAGAGGAACTTCATAGTTTGAAAATGAGCTCTGGACTTATGCGTTTCAGACAAAGTCAATTAAAGCCATTGTTAAAGGGAGTTTATAAATAAATACAGTTTGCTATATATATGTAAGACAGATCAGGTTTCTTACACAGCCTGTGTGCACAGTTCTGTCTACAACTGGACACATCTGAGCTCTTTGACATCCAAAAATGTCAAAGAGCTTTACACTAACCAGTCCCTCACCCATTCATCCACACACATTCACACACTGATAGTGGTAAACAGAGTAGCCACAGCTGCCCTGAGTGAAGTGACTCTCTGACCACCACATATCCAACACTTCAACCGGCTTATTTTGTGTGATTGAAATTTTAAACATCAATGAATTTGACTGATCTGTATTGAAGCAGCTGGAATCAATTCAGATCTGCATGTGGAAACTATCCATCCATCCTTTTTGTTTGTTTGCTTTCAAATTTATAAGAAATAAAATATATAATTTTCTAACATTGTTTGTTAGTGTGTTTGATGATTGTATACCTATTTTAAATTTGGATATGTCCTTAACATTGAGATCTTTTAATGTGTTTTTTGTGTAAATACGCCCTCCAGTGGACATGTTTGGAAATTATAAGGAAGTGATGATCTCCAAAAGTACAAAACTTTGAGAGGAAAATATGTAGAAACTATCTGTAAAAGGATATTTTCACACAAAACCTTACAACATTAAGATGTTACTATGTTTCTCACTGAGGTGACTGCTGACCAGTGAGTTGTGGTCAACATGGCTTCACCTGATTTTAGTTTTTAGAGAAAATAACTTATTGACTCTTATATCATTTTTTGACATTTTGGGTTTCCACAAAGAACAATAAATGCCACATGTAAACACTTGTTAGGAAAATTATTATCTTAGTTCATTTACTTTTATTTGAATGGTTATGTTTTCATATTATTCCGTGTGTTGTTTTCTTTCCTTTTCTTTTATGTGTTTATTCTTAACTGTCTTTTAGGGTTTTCTCTTGAGGGTTGGAGATGTCTCACACATTTCTGTGTTAAAGAGCCACATTGATCCTTATCTGTATCATCCTTGTGTCCTAACAATGGGACATCAACGGAAGACTTCCAGAACATCCTGTAGGATAGTGTATTGGTCAATTGTTTGCATGTCTGTGTGAGAAAGCCAACCTCTTTGTGTATTCAGATGAGAAAAGGCAGTTGGGGACTGAGAACTGGTGGAGTTAATCTCAGACAGCGTTTGGCAGCGGTTCGCCGCGTCGGGCTCTTCTCCCCTTTTCTGCGGAAAAGTAATTTGTATCTTTGGTTGATTCTTGCAAGTTGGGGAACAAAATAAACCCAACAGCACTGCAAGTTGTTTAGATGCTGACAGAAGCAGAAAGCATCGTTTGACAACCAATGACTGGATGCCTGGCAGTACGCTATGCTAAATCACAATTACAGCAAATGCTAACAATAGCAACTGGGAAATGGTAAATGTACTGCAAACCACACAAAAATTTTAAAAAATGGGGAGAATAAAGTAGATCTGAAATTTTCTTGAAAGCATTAAATTTTGTCGTGTCTCGTTCTAATAAACTCAGTATCATGTCTGATGTCCTGGTTTCTGCATGGTTTCCAGTTGCTTCATGTCGCCTCCTGGTTCTCTGTCCTTCATGATTTGTCAGTTCCTTCTGTTTTCCTCAGTGATAGTCTCTCAGCTTCTTTGAGTTAATTTTAATTAAAACTCTTAATTCTGTTTCAAATTATGCCTTTATCTTCAGTTCACTAACAATCATTATGACATGCAAGCACAAGAACACATGAACAATTTGTTTACATGAGAGAAAATGAAAATAAAACATGAAGTGTAAGGAAACGTTCAGAGGTAAATAACTCAAAATTATAACAACAACTTCTACAACTGTAGATCTTGTGAGTATTTATCTAATAAAAGATGTAAAAATATATATATTTGCCCATATAATATGGCAAACGATGGTGGTCGTACCACGAAATATAATTTTCAGTGCCAGCAAATGAACTCTGGATGCTATTTTGCATCATAACAGATATTAAAACCTAAACAGTCTCAGTAGTTGTTGCAGACCTGCTTCCATGACCTGTGCTGATCGTCTCCAGAATGTTAGATATTTTACAAGAACAAATTGAAGCCAGAAACTTATCCAGGATGGTTTTCCGAGTGAACAAATACAAAGTTGTGTCTGCAAGAGGACTAAGAAAAACACAAACTAAAGCCACGAAATGGAGAACTATAATGCTACTATTTAGGTGGCTATTGCTATCGAAAACTTCAGCTGCACCTAAGAGCAAAATGATGACGGGCAGATAAAGCAGAGTGTAAATAATCAGCACAGCAACCTGAATGGCTACTATTCGTCGTTTTTCATCTGCTGGGACACCGAGCGCTGCAGACAGAGCTCTGATAGTCCCAACCAGGAAGAAGATGAAGAAGGGAAAAGGCAGGAGGAGAACAATCATGAAGAAGATGATAGCAATCTTAGACTGCATTAACCCAATGCCAAGTATGATATAAAAAAGTGGAAGTATCCAGACCACAATGCAGACCACCACATATCTCTTGTTCCTTCTCTTGAATCTGTACCACAGAGGCTTGGTAATGACCAGATACCTGCAATAACAGAAAGACATGTTTAGTCTCTGAAGGTTATTAAGGGCAGATTAATGTTTTTATGTCAGACAAAAGGAGTAAACATGGAAACATACCTTTCACAGAAGATACACACCATGAATCCAACACTGACCATGATTCCAAAATATACAATATGGATGTATGTGAGATCATCTTCACTCAGTCTACTAAAATTTGCTGGAATTCTGGAGCAGAGCTGAAAGATATCAGAGACGAGGAGGTTGATGACATAGACTGGAGCATCCTGACCCTTTCTCACCTGTGAGAAAAAAAAAACAGAAAAATAATAATGGAATAATAATATTGTGTTATTAATATTAAAATGTTGCTTATTCCAAACATTCCAGTCATTTCTAGGGACAACACAGACTTAAACCTGAGATAAGACAAAACCATCATAAAACACTAAAGATAAATAAACCCTTTCATCAAACTGTTTTGACAGGTGACCTTTGACCCTGACATGGAAGTCTATTTAACATCTATCTTAAGGAGTGCCAATGAATAAAGAGGGTGTTGTAAATGAACCCTTGCAGTATCTTATTCTTTTTGCTGTCTTGTTTTTAGACCATTGATATTAGTACTTTTAATATAAAAGTAGCCCTGAGATGCAAAATTTAAATCCCAAATCAGCTTGTGGCACAAACTGCTTAAAGCAAAATAGGTAAACAAAACAAACAATTCCCTTTTAGTTTTTCACAGTTTAAAGAACAAACTCTTAGTCAAATAGTACATTCATTGTTAATGAATAAGCTAAACTGTACTCACCTGTGAAAAAACTGCAATCATCACTATAAGAATTAAAAGGAGTCCAACGCCAATGGTGATCCGATTTAGCAAATTTAAGACTTTGGAAATACATATGCCAGGACATTCAAAATTATAATCAAGGTCATAATATGTGCCGTCGTAGTCCTCATCAGTGTAATCGAAACCGGTTTGGTTATGGTAATTGTATTCTGTAGTGTTTATGTTCATCTCATCCATCCTAATATTGATGATGGGAGTAACTGTAAACAGAAATGATGATACATGTGTAAAATATGTCTAATTGATCTGGAATCAAGGATCCTTAAATCCAGGCCTGGAGGGCCGATGTCCTTCAGCCTTTATATATTCCTGGTTCAACACACCTCAGTCAAATATCTCAACACGTCCTCAGTATGCAGTCAAGATCTCCAGAGTGACTTGTGGCCTGAAACAGACACAATAAACCTAAATATTCATGTATTCAATATATTCACAAGTGGACAAATTTCATCATCATCATCATCATCAGATTTTATATTGTTCTTTTTGTTTTCTAACTGAGTTCAGTCTATGAATCCAACCTGAAAAATCCAAACATGTCCTTTCAGTATATAAAATATCACTTTGTGTGAGTTCATAAATGTGTTATCCAGACAAACCACCTTAGCAGCTACTTTATAGACTCCTATTCTTCCAACCCAGAAAAAGGAATTAGACCAGATGATACTTACTTACTAACTGATACTTATCTAGCAACGCTGAATAGTAGAATCTAGTTTATCTAGTAAATATACTTTAGATTAACATCATTAGCTTTTTCTTCTTTTCTTAATATAAAATACACTTTTTATAAAAATGTTATGTTGTTTTATTCTCCACAAAAACACAAAGAGAATAAACTTTAAGATACTGTTGTTAGTTTATAAACCACTGAACATCTTAACATTAAAGATCTGTTTGTTGACATAGCAACCTTCCAGACCTCTCAGGTCCTCTGGTTCTGCTCTGCATCCTCAGAACCAGAACCAAACAAGGACAAGCAGCATTCAGCTTCTATGCACCACAAATCTGGAACAAACCTCCACAAAACAATCATAACAACTGAAACACTGAGCTCCTTTAAATCACAAAACAACTCACCTGATCAGAGTTGCTTTTGAAAAATAATAAATGATACACTGACCAACAGTTTGATGAGTAATGTTTACTGGTTTTCTAAGTTTTTTGATTGTGTTTCCTATGACTGTGTATTTTTGTGTTGTTATGATGTAAAGCTCTTTGAACTGCCTTGCTGCTGACATGTGCTTTCCAAAGCTGATCCATTGATTATATTGACAGAACTGACTGAGTTTATCAGGAGAAATTCACACTTGAAAGTTCCTAAAATGAAACTTGACATCTGCTTTGGTTCAGGATTTGTGTTTTCAGCAGTAGAAAAAGATCAGTTAGTTCAGATAAAACCATGAGTGGATATCAAAAAGCTGATGACCCTAAACCCCCTAATAAGGTTTAGGGAAAAATGCAAACAAAGTGCAAACATTGTTCCACATATTAGTTTAGATTTTTGCTGTATGCTGAAAAGAAGCTTTTCCAGTCACTTTGATGACTCAAAGCGCTTTACACTAGAGTCACATTCAGCCATTCACACTCACATTTACACACCTATTCCCAGACCGGTAGGCAGCACCCTATGGAGCTTCACAGAACATAAACCTGGCCACATCATGTCGTCATAGAAACAGCTACCAAACAAACTGACAGCATAAATTTAATGTAACATTATTTGTATTTAAACAATGTTCAAAATAAATGACATATGAACAGTTTTAGTGAGATTATGTTAAGAAATTAAAAAATATTTTAAATGCAGAAAAGGGAATAAAAATGTGAAATCAGAGGATATTTAGTTACATTTAACTTCAGTTTGAAATTGTTTAAATTTCTAGTCACTCACTAGTGACCAGTGAGTGGAGGCTCACTGGTCACTAGTGGACCAGTGAGCTTCCCTACTGGTCCACTAGTCACTCTGTGTACTGTGACGAAGCTCCACGTTAGTCTTTGAACACAACTACCATTACTATTCAGAAGAGAACCAGATTTGATGGCTTACCACAGTTGAGCGCTGAACAGACTGTTTGGAATTTTCAGTTTTCCTTGAATTTATAAGCAACCAGTAGGGGGCCCAAAAACCACTCATCACAGGACAATCATGAAACATATTTTAGCAAGAATTTCATTTATATCTAATACTGTTGCATTAGTATTTATACACAATACATTACAATTACTTTGCAATGTCACCTGTCAGTTTTTTTATTTTCATTTTCGGACCGGTGAAGCAATTGAGATCCGACTGTGGAACTAACTTCATGGGAGCGTGCAAGAACTTGGCAAAAACTCCAACTCACTGCAACAATAAAGAAATTTGGTGTTTCTTAAATAAAAATGAGTGTACATGGATTTTTAATCCATCTCATGCCTCACTTATGGGAGGAAGTTGGGAGCACATGATCAGCATCACAAAGCACATACTAGATTCCATGATGTCAGGTTCTCCAACTCATCATCTCACCCACGAAGTGCGAGTTACCTTTCTAGCTGAAGTTACTGCCGTTGTGAACTCTCGACCTTTTCCAGTCTCTTCTGTCCCTTTATTCTCACACCTGCTACACTCCTCATTCAAAAGACTGAGGATTCCTCTACACCTCCTGCAGACTATGAGTGTGGAGGTCTTTCTAGACGTCAGTGAAGGCAGGTGCAATATCTTTCCAATCTTTTTTAGCATTGTTGGAAGAGTCAATAATTGCCTACCTTGCAACTGCGACAAAAGTGGCAATCAGGGAAACCTAATCTTCAAGTTGTGCTTTTGAAGGACTGTCAAGCCGAGAGGAACCAGTGGCCCAAGGACATTGTGGTTAATACCTTCCCTAGCCAACATGGACATTATAGGAAGCTTGGAATTAAAGTCCATTCTGAAGGTACATGTAAGACCTTCTTGAGGCCAGTTACTTGAGTTGTTCTCCTTCTGAGAAACACCTGTGGCAAGAATAGTAGTTAGATATAAGGAGACATCTTACAATGTCAGGGGGTGAGTGTGTGGGCAGTAATTCCTCCCAGCCAGCTGATGGTGGTGTTTTCATTATAGTTTTTTATTGAACAGTAAAATGAGTTCAGGGAGTTTATCAGTCTTCATTTAATCATTCTTCTTCTGTTTGTTGTTTACAGAAAGTCATGCTTATAAGTGTTTTGTGTTCTTGTATTACTTCTGAGACAACATTGAGCTTTATTTGTGGACATTTATGTTGAAAAAGGTTGATGTTTGTAATTCTGCTTGTCATGTTATTTACACAGTATTAAGTTTTCCGCTCTTATTATTTTTATGATTTGACTACTGTTGTATTCTAAATTGTGTTTTTTCATCTTTATTTGTAGTTTCACTCTTTTGACTACGTGAGTTAAAGTGACATACGCCTGTCAATCGTCTAAGAGTTTTTCTATTTGCACAACTGTTACCTGGAAAACACAGAGGGGGCAGAACACGTTCGAAAAGCATAAAATTGACCTTGAGTAAATACATGCATTTGCAAACAATTCAATATTCTGACCAAGAGGAAGAAAAAATCTTCAGGTCTCAGGAGATGAAACTAACTCAATCTGTAGCGACTCACACAGAGAAAAAGCAGCAGTTAGAAAGTTATTCTGTTTCTATTTAATTTTGCCTGTCTTTCCTAAATATTTTTTCTTTTTTTTTTTTTTACTAAATTAGAAAAATAATCACAGCTGAATTTTCAAACTTTGAAAGTTTGGTGTTTTATCATGGTATATTTTAAATATCAACTTTGTTTTATGAGACATCAAAAAATACTGAAATGATTTGATCTATATTTTTCTTCTTTTCATTTTCATTTCCATGATTAATTTTATTACTTTAGGACAAAACATATTTCGAGGAACACAGAACAAAGTTTTGGTTCAGGTAGTGCTGATAATGTCAGAACTCAATGTCACTTAAGCTCCAACAGATCCAACAGAGTTCATGGATCTGCAAAAGAGACTGAGTGTAACTGAGTGGCATCAAATTGACCACAGGGCCAAATATGGAGAACAGGAAGAGTGTCAGTAGGTGGAGCTGCAGCCAAAGTTTTAACAGTTATTATTTTCTTTGATGATTACATGAATTGTGTTTGTGGTTCGGTGGTATGCAACTTATATATTCAGAATTTATATTTCTAAATGTTTGTTTAGTTGAAAATCACACTTGCCATTTCCTGTGTTACCCCTTCCTGTTGAATCTCCAGACTTCATGGGGACACAAAGAGGAGATCCTTCTCTCTACAAGACTAACGTGGTTTGAGACTTCAGGGTTAACTCATGTTGTGGTTCACGTCGGTGTAGTACAGAAAAGCAAAAGACAGTCAAAGGTTTTCCGGGGGAAGCTGGAGGATTTATTTCTTGTACTCAACAACTGTGTCTGATAGTGGTTCATTCTTACAAAGCATTAAGTTTAAAATATAGCAATAGATCATCATTTTGAGTTATAACACCACAAAACTACTGTTTTGTATTTAAATAAAGGTGACATATTTTAATAGAGAAATTTAGTACATCTATATTTGCTACTCATACATATTTAACAGGCAAAACTGATTAAAGAATTTAACCATCATCCTACCATATAATTATACATCTAACCGAAAATTAACACTTTCGGTTAGTCTTATCTGTAGTCCTAGTACCAATCAGTTCTTGACATTTGATTCTCAACCCTTTTAGTATTTTGAGCTCTCAACACTATATCTTTAAAAAGGATTCTCACCCTTGACTGTTTTTCACTTCTGTGTTGTGAAATCTTCAGACTGCTTCCTGGAAAACTATCAAGGATTTGTTTGGTGCCAACGCTCTTTTCTTCTGTGGGTTTATAGACGAGATATCAGTTTTTTGTCCAGTACTATCTGAAGGATCAGACAGAAATCTTGTTTTGTTACAAGCTACACCTCCTTCTTTTCTGCTTCTTCTATTTATGGTGGTTGGCAAACAACACAAGGTGCAATACTTTGTCCAGATTGGAGTATGAATCAGATGTTCTGTTACTATATTTTTCCCAAAATACCTGATCGTCTTAAAAAGAAAGAAAGAAAAAGTAATGTTCCTGGTGGTCTTTGAAATAATTGCTGTACGTCAAACTCACTTTTATCCTTATTTAAATTCTCTCTTTCATGTTCACAGTTATTACTGTTTCCATCTGCCCACTATGATTGCAACAGGCTGTAGCGTGTCTGTTTATTATTTTTAGAATGCTATTTATTACTCTATCATCCTCCATATCTTCTATTATTCCATTTTCTAAATTCTCTAACTTTCTTATGGATTATAGAATAAAATCTAACATTTTCTCCTCTAACCCATTGCTCTTGCCATTTCTTCCTAACAAATAATTTTATACTCTTAACCTTATCTATACTTATTTTAATTTTAAATTCAACAATATTATTTTTAGCAGGCAGCACTTTCAGGAAAAGCCAACTAATCCCCTACAGTTCAAATAAGGGCATGAATGCATACAACATACTTACATCTTCAATAACTGTTGCATATTACACTAGACACAAACCAGACATTAACATTCATTGATGCTTTATTTAATACACAGATGCATATTTCTTACAGTAGTAAAAGTCTTCTGTACATTTTTGTAACAAAAAAACCAACAGATCAAAATCATCATGGCAGAAAATTTTGAAAATACTAATCTAACATACTAAATAAAGTGGCATAGATTCAGATGCAGAAAATGCTGATTTGAAAATCAGAAACGTCCTGTCTGTTTTTAAGAGAGCACAACAAGGAATATTTATACCCATTATAGCAATGAAAGTATTACATCTGCAAGAACGTTCAAAGGAATACTGAAGTACAGGTTTACCAGTACTGAGATGGACATGTCCAGGGTGACTCTCTGAAGGCGACCGCAGGGAAAAGCCTGCATGATGATGGATGGATGGGTTGAGTAATATATTGATTATTCCATGCACAGCTCACACTGTGCTGGTGCATGGTGCAGACATGTTTTCAACAGCTGTGCTGCTTGATTCCTGGTTGCCTAACATTTCACAATGGCAGCATGATTTCAGTAGTTTGTCTATTGCACTTTTTCTAATACAAAAGTACATGGTCAAATCTGCCAGAGGACTTAGAATAAGGCAAATGCAAGCCAAGCTGTCAAAAATCTGGTTATATCTTAGTTCTTCCACTAATGACCAAATAATGTTAGGAAGAAACAGGAGTGTGTAAATAAGTAACACCACAACCAGAATTGTTACTATCCTTTTTTTTTCCTCAGCAGGGACACTGTGAGCTGCAGACAGAGCTTTGATGGTTCCAGTGAGGAAGAAAACCAAAATGGGGAATGGAAGGAGAAAGATGACAGCAAAGACCATTTCTACATCCTGATGGTTTACATTAAAACAGTAAGGGAGAACACTGGCAAATGCCAATGTCCATACCACGGCACAGACCGTCAGAGATGTCTTGATGTTCCTCCTGAATCTGTACCACAGCGGCTTGGCAATAACCAAATACCTGGAATTAGAGAAACTCACTGATGATTGTACTCATGACACAGAATTAAATACAGAAGTAAATTTGCATGTGCATAAAGGAAACTACCTCTCCAGAGAGATGCACACCATAAATCCAATGCTGCCTGTTAGAGCAAAGAGGTAACTGTAGTTTATGATGTCATGAAACTTGTCTGCCTTCCAAGCCACCAGGCAGCAAAGCTGAATCAGGTCAGAAATGAGAAGGTTGATGATGTAGACTGGAGCAGAGTGATCTCTTTGGATCTGCAGGGAAAGAAGCCATAAACATGTCCTGAAATGTAACGTGTTGCTTGTTCCATAAATACAAGAACAAAAAATGAGTAAAGGCCATATTTTGGATTTGTTTTGACAAAAACTAAGTTTTTCATGAGCATTAATGTTAAATGGCCTGCACTGGTATATTGCTTTATCAAGTCCAGAGAGGACCCTAAATCACTCCACACTACACTCAGTCATTCACCCATTCACCCTTTCACCCATTCACACACACACATTCACACGCAGATGGAGGGAAGGTACTGGACAGTAGCCACAGCTGACCTGGAGCACACTGGCAGAGGCAGGCTGCCATAAACCGGCAACAATAGGCCTCCTGAATATCACCTGCAGATAAAAGTTTTGCCCAAGGAAACAATGACCAAGGTAGTCTCATTATGCAGCTATTCCATATCTGCGAAATGAGATATTTTAGTGTAATATATTTAACTATAATCAGCAGTTCAAATATTCTGATCTCATTATTGCATATCAGAAGCTATGAAAAAAGCTGAGGCTGATGATGTTACATTACTCTGTGTCTAGTGATGAAGATTCCCTAACCTCAGTATGCTGAATGCTTGGAGTGGTGAAGATGTGTTTAACATATTTACTTTTATTCAGTCTCACAGTGAATAATGCTAATATAATAAAAAAAATGCTGGTTTGAGCAATTAGAAGGACTGACTATGTGTTCAGCATTTTTTGCCCAATGTGGTTTTAAGTATGAAAAACAAGGTTTAAAAAAATACTGAATTACAGTGTAAAGTTAAATCATAATAATTCATATTTAATGCTGTAATGCACCCTCAATCCAAACACGTCAACAAATTTCCTACAAGTGACAGAATTTGTTTTTCAGCACAAAACATGTCATTTATTTTTATTCAGACCCAAAGTGTCTTTAGTTACAGCAACATGTCAGGATGGACGCACAGTGTGAATATCAGTGTACATACCAGACAATAAACCGCACAGATCGCCGCCAGCATCAGAGGAAGTCCTGTGCAAGTAACTATTAATTCCACTATATGCATGACTGACTCAGTATTAGAGTCAGATTGGCTGCAGCTGCTGTTGTTGGTGATGTTGAAGTCATCAGTGTTGTTAAAGGTGGTGTTGTCCTGCATTTCCATTGTTTTCTATAAAACATGGATTGTAGATCATGATGAAGTTCAATGTTAGTTGGATGAAGTCTCCCTGTTGTCCTAACAACATAACCAGATGTGCATATGAAGTTGTATACATTTACAAATCCCTTATTGTATTCATAAAAAGAGACTGTGTAATGACTAGAATCATAGAATATTTCCTGTTTCTCTTTTAAAAGTTAGAATCCCATGCCACTGCAATAAATGAAGACATTTTCACAAAGATTACAGACTTCATTTAATACGCCCATTGTATAGGTAGTTATCCTTACTGATGTCATGATGAATAGATTTTACCTCTAACAGTTGAAACTCTTTACTGTAAAGAGCTGAGATGTGAGGATTTAGTCGTCTTCTCGTCCAGATCCACAAAGAAAACTCAAAACCTGTGAGCTTATTATCTACATCCACAATGAGGAAGTTAAAACAGAAGTCATTAGAACTAAACTGGTATAAGATGAAATCATAAGATATTATCCGTGCATGAGTCATTGTCACACAGACGCCTTGTATATTCGAAATCAGAACACTTCAGGAAATGAAAACAACCGCATGTTTATCAATGCAAATATGCCCAATACAGTCATAGCAACAAGCTGCTTTAATGCACTATTTATTTCTGGTGTGTATAGAACCATGGACAGATTTACAGGGTGATCAGGAGAGTAGATTATTGGAAGGAAACCAAAAAAATGAAAGATAGAAACACTAAGATTTTATTATTCAGAAGAAAACATGTCTTACTGGAAAAAACGCCCGAACTTTCAATTCTTCTTTCAATAGTTACTCATCTAAGTGTAACGGGAGGTTTCTAAGAAATTAGATGTGATAAATATTTACAGAAGTGTAAAAACACATATAGATTGGACAGATGTGTTACAAAAATAATCTACTGGAAATGACTGAAATTATGTTTCAGTAAATAATACATCCGCATCAAAACAAAATGTTCCAGTTTTTTTCTGTTAATCTTAAACATTCAAATTTGAAAGATGCTTTTCTCAGTTTCTTTTATAAAAAATAGTTTTCCAGGTCTTTCTCAAGCCTTTACTCTTCTGTGTCTGTTTTGTGACTAGTTATTGATGTTCCTCATAGTGGATACAGCTTCCTCTTTCCTACAGACATAATCCGGTTATTTTTTAACAGAAGTTTGTGCCTCTTGAGCTTTGCTCAAACTCCAGAGTGGTGCAGCTTGTTCTTGGTCAAAAAGTCAGATTGGAAGAGACAGACAGACCATCTGTCCCTCCGTCCATCCAATCGTCCATCCCTGAGGTTTTTCCATTTTGTCTTGACAAATCCAATGCACCTTACTGGCACATTACTGTTCTGTTTTTATTATTCCTGAGAAAAGGGAATTAACTAACAGACTTATTTGTTATTTTTGAGTGTCTGTGCATGTGTGTATTTTAATATGCAATAGTCTTTTGAGCTGAATAGCTAATTTTTATGTGAATAGGAGGCAGATATAAGTTAATACTTCTTTCAGTTACTTTTCATTCATGATTTCTTTTGTTCTCACGTGAACTATTCATGAGATCAAATCATTTATTAGTCTCCCATAGGAGAAATTTGTCTGGGAAGCAGGAGCAAAACTGCAGCACAACAATAGTAACGGCAAATCCAAAAAGGACCATTGCCACAAATACATTAAAGCAAAAATACATGAAAACACAAATTTCAGGTCAGCAGTACTTCTCCTTAACCATCTCATTCCCATTCACATAGAATATGTCTCCTACATGCGTCTGGGTCACGATGATCACTTTATTTTTGAGTGAATGAAATAAAAAAAGATGTTTCCATCTTAGTTAATTCTTTCTTTTTCTGAGATTTGTATTAATTTTCACAAAAACTCTTAATTCTGTCTCAAATTCTGCCTACATCTTCAGTTCACTCACCAGGAAATATGATTATCAGTGCCAGCAAATGAACTCTGGATGCTATTTTGCATCATAACAAATATTAAAACCTAAACAGCCTCAGTATTTGTTTCAGACCTGCTTTCATGATCTGTGCTGATCGTCTCCAGAATGGTAGATATTTTACAAAAACAGATTGAAGCCAGAAACTTATCCAGGATGGTTTTCCGACTCAACAAATACAAAGTTGTGTCTGCAAGAGGACTAAAAAAAAAACATATTAAAGCCATTATATAGATAGGAATGTGCATGTCGCTATCCAATACTCCATACTGAGCAAAGAGCAAAATAATGGTGGGCAGATAAAGCAGAGTGTAAATAATCAGCACAGAAACCTGAATGGCTACTATTCGTCGTTTTTCAACTGCTGGGACACCGCGCGCTCCAGACAGAGCTTTGATAGTCCCAACCAGGAAGAAGATGAAGAAGGGAAAAGGCAGGAGGAGAACAATTATGAAGAAGATGTCAGCCATCGTATACTCCTCAATCCCATAGCTGAGTACTGGATACAAAAGTGGAAGTATCCAGACCACAATGCAGACCACCACATATGTCTTGATGTTTCTCCTGAATCTGTACCACAGAGGTTTGGCAATGACCAGATACCTGCAATAACAGAAAGACATGTTTAGTCTCTGAAAGTTATTAAGGGCAGATTAATGTTTTTATATCAGACAAAAGGAGTAAACATGGAAACATACCTTTCACAGGAGATACACACAATAAATCCAACACTGACCATCACACCAAAATCTACAATAATATTGTATTTGGCATCATCTTCACTGAGTCTAGTAAAATCTAGTGGAATTCTGCAGCAGAGCTGAATGATATCAGAGACGAGGAGGTTGATGACATAGACTGGAGCATCCTGACCCTTTCTCACCTGTGAGAAAAAAAAAACAGAAAAATAATAATGGAATGATAATATTGTGTTATTAATATTAAAATGTTGCTTATTCCAAACATTCCAGTCATTTCTAGGGAAAGACAGACTTAAACCTGACATAAGACAAAACCATCATAAAACACTAAAGATAAATAAACCCTTTCATCAAACTTTTTGACAGGTGACCTTTGACCCTGACATCCGGTGACCAGAAACCAAATGTCTGGTTGTCAGAAATTACAATACCAGATATCCAGCCAGCGGATGTCAGGGAGCCAGATATCATGCAACTGGATGAGTCAGTTTTATGAAAACATAAAATAACTGTATCATAATTCTACTCTGGATTAAGTTACATTTGGAATCAGGTCTCTGTCCAGCTGCAGACCAGTAGGGTTGGCTTTTCCCCTGACTTAGAACTCACACAGTTAACAAGCTGCAGTTTCCTCTCTACTATAAAACCAGAATGATGTTTCAGAATATCCGACTGGATGTCAGGGTCAAAGGTCACCTTTTCTCCATCAAAAAAGTTTGATGGAAGGGTGTTCTTTTAGTTTATCACAGTTTAAAGAACAAACTCTTAGTCAAATATCACATTGATTGTTAATAAATAGGCTAAAGTTTCAATGTACTCACCTGTAAAAATACTGCAATCATCACTATAAGAATTAAAACAAATCCAATGCCAATGGTGATCCGACTTAGCAAATTTAAGATTTCGGAAATACATATGCCAGTACAGTTAGAATAATAATCATGGTGATAATATGTACTGTTGTCGTTCCCTTTGCTGTTATTGAAACTGTTTTCTTCTGTCGTGTTTGAGTTCATCTCTTCCATCTTAATATTGATGATGGGAGTAACTGTAAACAGATATGATGATACATGTGTAAAATATGTCTAATTGATCTGGAATCAAGGATCCTTAAATCCAGGCCTGGAGGGCCGATGTCCTTCAGCCTTTATATATTCCTGGTTCAACACACCTCAGTCAAATATCTCAACACGTCCTCAGTATGCAGTCAAGATCTCCAGAGTGACTTGTGGCCTGAAACAGACACAATCAAACCTAAATATTCATGTATTCAATATATTCACAAGTGGACAAATTTCATCATCATCATCATCAGATTTTTCATATTGTTCTTTTTGTTTTCTAACTGAGTTCAGTCTATGAATATCCAACCTGAAAAATCCAAACATGTCCTTTCAGTATATAAAATATCACTTTGTGTGAGTTCATAAATGTGTTATCCAGACAAACCACCTTAGCAGCTACTTTATAGACTCCTATTCTTCCAACCCAGAAAAGGAATTAGACCAGATGATACTTACTTACTAACTGATACTTATCTAGCAACGCTGAATAGGAGAATCTAGTTTATCTAGTAAATATACTTTGGATTAACATCATTAGCTTTTTCTTCTTTTCTTAATATAAAATATACTTTTTATAAAAATGTTATGTTGTTTTATTCTCCACAAAAACACAAAGAGAATAAACTTTAAGATACTGTTGTTAGTTTATAAACCACTGAACATCTTAACATTAAAGATCTGTTGTTGACATAGCAACCTTCCAGACCTCTCAGGTCCTCTGGTTCTGCTCTGCATCCTCAGAACCAGAACCAAACAAGGACAAGCAGCATTCAGCTTCTATGCACCACAAATCTGGAACAAACCTCCACAAAACAATCATAACAACTGAAACACTGAGCTCCTTTAAATCACAAAACAACTCACCTGATCAGAGTTGCTTTTGAAAAATAATAAATGATACACTGACCAACAGTTTGATGAGTAATGTTTACTGGTTTTCTAAGTTTTTGATTGTGTTTCCTATGACTGTGTATTTTTGTGTTGTTATGATGTAAAGCTCTTTGAACTGCCTTGCTGCTGACATGTGCTTTCCAAAGCTGATCCATTGATTATATTGACAGAACTGACTGAGTTTATCAGGAGAAATTCACACTTGAAAGTTCCTAAAATGAAACTTGACATCTGCTTTGGTGCAGGATTTGTGTTTTCAGCAGTAGAAAAAGATCAGTTAGTTCAGATAAAACCATGAGTGGATATCAAAAAGCTGATGACCCTAAACCCCCTAATAAAGGTTTAGGGGAAAAATGCAAACAAAGTGCAAACATTGTTCCACATATTAGTTTAGATTTTTGCTGTATGCTGAAAAGAAGCTTTTCCAGTCACTTTGATGACTCAAAGCGCTTTACACTAGAGTCACATTCAGCCATTCACACTCACATTTACACACCTATTCCCAGACCGGTAGGCAGCACCCTATGGAGCTTCACAGAACATAAACCTGGCCACATCATGTCGTCATAGAAACAGCTACCAAACAAACTGACAGCATAAATTTAATGTAACATTATTTGTATTTAAACAATGTTCAAAATAAATGACATATGAACAGTTTTAGTGAGATTATGTTAAGAAATTAAAAAATATTTTAAATGCGCAGAAAAGGGAATAAAAATGTAAATCAGAGGATATTTAGTTACATTTAACTTCAGTTTGAAATTGTTTAAATTTCTAGTCACTCACTAGTGACCAGTGAGTGGAGGCTCACTGGTCACTAGTGGACCAGTGAGCTTCCCTACTGGTCCACTAGTCACTCTGTGTACTGTGACAAAGCTCCACGTTAGTCTTTGAACACAACTACCATTACTATTCAGAAGAGAACCAGATTTGATGGCTTACCACAGTTGAGCGCTGAACAGACTGTTTGGAATTTTCAGTTTTCCTTTGAATTTATAAGCAACCAGTAGGGGGCGCCAAAAACCACTCATCACAGGACAATCATGAAACATATTTTAGCAAGAATTTCATTTATATCTAATACTGTTGCATTAGTATTTATACACAATACATTACAATTACTTTGCAATGTCACCTTGTCAGTTTTTATTTTTCATTTTCGGACCGGTGAAGCAATTGAGATCCGACTGTGGAACTAACTTCATGGGAGCATGCAAGAAACTTGGCATAACTCCAACTCACTGCATTTGCAATCTTTTTTGGCATCGTTGGAGGAGTCAATACTTGCCAACCTTTCAACCGTGGCGAACGTGGCAATCAGAGAAACCTAATCTTCAAGTTGGAGATCTTGTGCTTTTGAAGGACTCTCACACCAAGAGGAACCAGTGGCCCAAGGACATTGTGGTTAATACCTTCCCTAGCCAACATGGACATGTTAGAAAGCTTGGAATTAAAGTCCGTTCTGAAGGTACATGTAAGACCTTCTTGAGGCCAGTTACTTGAGTTGTTCTCCTTCTGAGAAACACCTGTGGCAAGAATAGTAGTTAGATATAAGGAGACATCTTTCAATGTCAGGTGATGAGTGTGTCGGCAGTAATTCTTCCCAGCCAGCAGATGGTGGTGTGTTCATGTTAAGTTTGTTATTGAACAGTAGAATGAGTTCAGCAACAAATGTATTTTGGCTACGTCAGTGAAAGTGACATACGCCTGTCAATTGTCTAAGAGTTTATCTATCTGCACACCTGTTACCTGGAAAACACAGAGGGGGCAGAAAACCTTCAAAAAGCATAAAAATGCCCTTGAGTAAATACATGCATTTGCAAACAATTCAATATTCTGACCAAGAGGAAGGAAAAATCTTCAGGTCTCATTCAAACTAATTCAATCGTAGAGACTCACACAGAGAAAAAGCAGCAGTTAGAAAGTTTTATTGACCCAAAGTTCTTTGGCGGTCGGACACCGGCAGAAGACGTGAGTGCTTAGAATCGCCGTGAGCTTGGATGATTGGCTCAGGGCAAAGCTAAGGGTAATCTTCCCTTCAAAAGAGCATGCTGATCCGAGGCCTGACTGGGACCTGCAGTCTCATCGAACCTTGATAGGTGAGGCAATTGGACGAGACCTGCAGCTGATGGGGCCTGGAAGGCTGATGGCCGTCCGGGTGATGCGGCCAGCGCACGTAGACAGATAGGAGTTAGAATTGCTGAAACAGTCCACCAGCAATGATTTCTTGTGAATGCTTACCCATTGTCTGGGAGCAGTGAGAATGGAGGAGAGGATACAAGAATACTTTTGGAGAATGCTGCCGATGACCAGTGGCTGGGTTGATGAAAGGGAGTTACGACTGAACCTTTAGGGGCATTCCATGTTTCTTGTTATCTAAATATGAGGCCTGGAAATGTCCAAAGGCAGGGGTGCTCAAGTCCAGTCCTCGAGAGCTAACATCCTGCAACTTTTAGTTGCAGCCTTACTCCAGTAGACCAGGCTCAGCTATAAACAGGATGGTAGCTCTTGAGGACTGGACTTGAGCACCCCTGGCCAAAGGGAATGCACATAGATCTCGGATTTCAAAGAAATTTAAAGACCAGGCAGAGCTGTGGAGACTTCAGGAGAGGGACGTTATCATTGAGAGCCAAGATCACTGACTTGAGAACATGGTGTGAGAGTCATAGATGCAGGACCTGCAATGTGTCTGATCATTCTGAAACTCATTTACTAGAATGGGATGATGGACAAACAGCTGCAGAGATAAGCTATATTAGATGATGGATTTCAATGCCATTTTTACCCATCATTCATCAAGGAAAGTACATTTTACAAAATATTTTCCTCTCCCTTTGTTATCACTCTTGCAGGTATGTTTAGGTATGATATGAGGATCATTGTTGCCAAAGGCAGCTGCACTTTGCTGCCATCTCCTGCCATCTGCTGGAGTTGATGGGATTTGCAACAACTGAAGGTTTTTCATGGAATCTGACTGGTGATCCATTGCAGAAATAAAGTAACAGCCTTTTGTGCTTGTTTTAATAATTTCTGCATTCTGTTGAAGATCTCCAGGTTTAAAAAAGAAAATAGAAGGTTAGTTTCCTTTCAAAGATGTCTTTATAAAGGACCTAAAAGGCTAATCTACTTTTTTTAATAACTTAAATTACATAAAAGTCTTTGTGATTTTTGAGAAAAACATAAACTGTCTGATCTCAAACAACAATGCTCCAAAATATTTAATGAGATTTTGAGATTGAGTCAACCTGAAGGAAACTGGTTGTACTGGATTTTATTTAGGAATAAGTTGCATTACATTAATTTATGCACATCTGTATTTAATGTGTCATTAAGCTTCCACTTCACATATATATATATATATATATATATATATATATATATATATATATATATATATATATATATGAAACCCACCGTGGGTGGTTCTTATCCTCTGAGCTCGGGTCCTCTACCAGAGGCCTGGGAGCTTGAGGGTTCTGCGCAGTATCTTGGCTGTGCCAAGGACTGTACATTTCTGGACTGAGATGTCTGATGTTGTTCCTGGGATCTGTTGTAGCCACTGCTCCAGTTTGGGGTTACTGCCCCGAGGGCCCCGATGACCACAGGCACCACTGTGGTCTTCACCTTCCAGGCCCTCTCCAGTTCTTCCCTGAGGCTATGGTATTTCTCCAGTTTCTCGTGCTCCTTTTTCCTGATGTTGCAATCACTTGGTATTGCTACATCTACCACAACGGCTTTCCTCTGTTGTTTATCCACTACGACAATGTCTGGTTGGTTCGCCATTACCATTTTGTCTGTCTGGATCTGGAAGTCCCACAGGATCTTAGCTCTGGCGTTCTCCACCACCTTTGGGGGTGTTTCCCACTTTGATCTCGGGGTTTCCAGTCCATATTCTGCACAGATGTTTCTGTACACTATGCCTGCCACTTGGTTATGTCGTTCCATGTACGCTTTCCCTGCCAGTATCTTGCACCCTGCTGATGTGCTGGACTGTCTCAGGGGCCTCCTTGCACAACCTACACCTTGGGTCTTGTCTGGTGTGGTAGATCTGGGCCTCTATTGCTCTGGTGTTTAGGGCCTGTTCCTGGGCGGCCAGGATGAGGGCCTCTGTGCTGTCCTTGAGTCCAGCTTTTTCCAGCCATTGGTAGGATTTACTGATATCAGCCACTTGGGTTATTTGCTGGTGGTACATCCCATGTAGGGGCTTGTCCTCCCATGATGGTATCTCTGGCACCTCAACCTCCGTTCCCTGTTGTCTGAGACATTCACTGAGCACATTGTCTGTTGAGGCTTTGTCCCTGAAGTATTTATGGATCTTAGTTGTTTCGTCCTGGACAGTGGTTCTCACACTCACTAGTCCTCTGCCTCCTTCCTTGCGGCTCGTGTACAGTCTCAGGGTGCTGGATTTGGGATGGAACCCTCCATGCATGGTTAGTAGCTTTCTAGTCTTAATATCTGTGGCTTTTATCTCCTCCTTTGGCCAGCTAATTATTCCAGCAGGGTATCTGATTACTGGCAGGGCATAGCTGTTTATCGCACGGATTTTGTTCTTGCCATTGAGCTGGCTTCTCAGGACTTGCCTTATTCGTTGGAGGTATTTAGCTGTGGCTCCTTTCCTTGTGGCCTCATCGAGGTTGCCATTTGCTTGTGGTATACCTAGGTACTTGTAACTGTCCTCTATGTCTGCTATTGTTCCTTGTGGGAGTGAGACTCCTTCTGTGCGGATCACCTTCCCCCTCTTTGTGATCAGCCGACCACACTTCTCTAGTCCGAATGACATCCAATGTCAGTGCTGTAGATCCTGGTGGTGTGGATCAGTGAGTCGATGTCTCGCTCACTCTTGGCATACAGCTTGATGTCATCCATGTAGAGGAGGTGACTGATGTTGGCCCCATTTTTGAGTCTGTATCCGTAGCCAGTCTTGTTGATAATTTGGCTGAGGGGGTTCAGGCCTATGCAGAACAGTAGCGGGGACAGAGCATCTCCTTGGTATATGCCACATTTGATGGACACTTGTGCAAGTGGTTTTCAGTTGGCTTCAAGGGTGGTTTTCCACAGCCTCATCGAGTTTGCAATGAAGGCTCTCAGAATCCTGTTGATGTTATACATCTCTAGGCATTCAATGATCCAAGTATGCGGCATTGAGTCATAGGCTTTCTTGTAATCGATCCAAGCCATGCACAGGTTGGTGTGTCGGGTTTTGCAGTCTCGGGCAACTGTGCGGTCTACGAGGAGTTGGTGTTTGGCTCCTCTGGTATTTACACCGATACCCTTCTGTGCCGTGCTCATGTGTTTATCCATGTGTTTGCTTATCTTGGCCGCTATGATGCCTGACATGAGCTTCCAGGTTGTGGAGAGGCAGGTTATTGGTCGGTAGTTGGGTGGGACTGGACCCTTTGATGGATCCTTCTGGATTAGGATTGTCCGCCCTTCAGTTAACCATTCAGGGTGAGTCCCACTTTGTAGTAGCCCCCCAGTCGCTCATGGAGAGCAGTGAGTTTCTTTAGCCAGTAGGCATGGATCATGTCAGGCCCTGGTGCTGTCCAGTTTTTCATACCTGAGACTCTTTCTTGAACATCTGTCACAGTGATGGTTACCGGGGCTTGCTCAGGGAGGTTGCTGTGGTCC